GAGATATCTTTGACGTTCTTTTTGACCATGGGGTTTAAGCATCCAACCAAGCAATCAATGCAATTTCTATCCAAAAGGTGCCGATCATAAGGTTTGATACTGGCCAAGGGCCCACTGGTCAATAACTTTTTAAATTATATCGAATTAAATCGATATGAACGAAGATAAAAATTAAAGTTGAACTCTAAACCTTGGCAAATGTCTAAAATGGAGTCGGAACGCCACAAATATGACGAAGCTAACTAGCTAAACTAGCTAAAATGACAGCTCCATGCTCATCAGCTACTACTAAACATAGTAAATACAATAGGCTAGACAAAGGCGTTACAGACAAAGAAATATTTAAAATAGCAAAATGTGCATACAGACAAGTTAAAGATGTAAAGAGTAAACATATTAGATATTTCAATTACTTAACTTAGTTTATGTTTGATACATCATGTTCGATGGTCTTTAAAATGGGTCAATATTGATGACATTAGGATTGGCTGGCTGGCTGGATTGAAGAATTAAACCCCTTTGAAACGTTCTATAACAAACCAATTATCGACAATAAAAATTTGGTTCGAACAATATTCGAATAAATATTAATAAGTAATTGTTTTTTTATTTTTGATTTTATAGTAAATGTATGCCTGATGTATCTGGTATTTTGAAAAAAAAAAAGTGTTAATCCGTTGGTGATGGTTCTTGTCGCCGAATTGGTGACAAGAGCCACTGGCAATCCCCGACCCGCCCGGGTCAGTGAGGAACGTTTTAGGATCCGACTTAATTGCCCTTAGCTGTATTGAAAGGGTTGTGGAAGTTGGGCTTCTACAGTGGGTCTGTTAAAACTTCATACAATAACAAAAAAAATTGGTTGCCTGTAAAGTCGGTATACGGGCGAAAGTTTTACGTGACAACGACTTTGAGTGGTAAAATCATTTTAATGTGAATATTCATTCGTATAGTAGGAAGAAGGATGAAATAATAGTAACAATTTAAAACATTTATTTATACAAAGAATTATATTTAAAACATTAATTTATACAAAGAATCTCGCACTGAATTTCATATTAACAAAATTTTATTTTTACCTTTACACATACATACGTATTTATATACAAATATAACTACCTTCACATTATCACTACACAATCGTTTTACAATTAACTGGCAGCGTGTAAACTTGTATGCAGGCGCCTAAGCGAAATAGAAGCGCAAGACATGAACCGGTGTGTATGCCTATCTCTCACTCTCTCTCGCTCTGTCTCTCTCGCTCTTAGGCGGGCTAACTGTGCTCGAGTGGAAGGGACGCGTGCCTTTTACTTTTTATGTCTGTCTCTCTCGCTCTTAGGCGGGCTAACCATGCCCGAGTGGAAGGGACGCGTGCCTCTCACTCGCTCTCATTGTGAGCGCATAACGTGAGCGGAGCGAACGCAGTTTCTTGAAGTGTCACCCGGCAAACCAATTTATAAGACGTTGTCACGTCAAAAACAAAACAAGGAATAACAACATTAACAGATAGTTCATCTTCAATATAACCGTATATAAAGTTATAAAGTCACATATCGGCCAATAATAGGCAACCGACGACATTATTTTCTATTTTTCAAGGAAATTCATTATCGATTGAAAACAGTGTCAATACTCTAGTTGCTAGATCTTCCACTGGCATACCGTTTCTCTCTGCTATGAATGTCCTCGGGTCTGGCATGAACGGAGGCTCTGCCAGAGCTAGATCCTGCAGCTCTTGCTCTTGTTCTTCGTTTTTTGAGAACCTAGGTTTTTGAAACGGGTGTTAAAAAAAGACTTTTTGCAAACATAATGTTCCATTCTAATTACTGTCGCCAGCAATTCACGTGCTAAAGGCGTTATTGCGTCTTCGGCATATCCGAGGAGAGATAATGTAGTCCAAACTCATTCTCTTTCAAATCATACAAACAGTTATCCATGAATAGATTGAACAGCCATTGTGACGCTACACTCCCCTGTCTGGTAAGTCTACGGAAGTCAACCCAGTTAATAGTAACACCATTTATCCAAATTTAAATTGAAAATATCTTTAACATTTGAAATACGTCATATTTTTTTGCGAATTTACCCTTTACCGTTCGTTCGTAAGGCAATTTTTCTTTAAGAAGAACAAGCGAGAAACTTAAGAGTAGTTTTTTTCTAATTTTATCATACCTAACCAAAATAAAGAAAAAGCTATTTGCTGAATGGAATCATCCAGATAAGAAGTAGTATTCATTATGCCCATTGATATTTTTCTTTTAAATATTCGTTAATAGTATAATACTCTTTTTTATCGAGTGTTTCTTTAATAATGCTATTAAATTAAGCGCAATACGAACCCCTTAAATGGATTCGTTACTTTGCATAATCGATTAACATGTAAACACTTTATTCTTATTTCCCTTATAGAGTTTGTGAAGACTAATATTTATCTTGACCGTTTTTATTTTGTCTTATAAATAACAAATTTTCATATACGAATCGGGTTGCCAGAATTAAAATCCCTTAAGTTCACTTTTAAGAGATGCACGAGGTCGGAGCTTGTAAATAGCGCGAAAGGCCCGCTTCTGCAACACTAAAATTTTACGAATATCCGCAGCGTGTCCCACAGCGAGATGCCGTACGACATCAGGCTATGGAAACAGACGAAATTTACTAATCTGGCGGTTTCTAAGTTTAATAAATTTCTCACAGAATAAAAATTGAATCCTACTGTCTAGGTTTCTAGACTATCCTAGGAATACGGTAGCGTTGATAAACTAATAACCTTTGTTTTGTACTGAGATGGTTTCCGATTCACATCTTGCATTTGAAAGTAATAGTCTTGTACATTTTGTTTTTTATTTAATACACAAAAGGCAGTGACTTAGTTAATCTTTAATGAGCCCTGCATCAAAATTAGTTGAGGGCCCGTTTAAAACTGACTGCGGTTAAGCTCAAAAATAAAGCATTTCTTTGACAAAATAAACAAAAACAATTTTATACCAAATTATAAGAAATGACAACATGTTTACAATAAAAATTGTAATCTCGCTGTCATTAATATTGAATTTCATTACTAATAATTCTGAGTTCTACATTATAATCAATTTGAATTATAGATTTCAAACAGATTTTCAAAGTAATCAATTGATCATAGAGATCAACTGATATATCTCTAATGAATTTATTAGTCAGGTTTCCGACTACCTTATTAAAATTCATTCACTTAAGATTTTTGTAGTTTACTCCTCAAAAACGCATGTCATATTTAGCTTCCGGCACGAAAAGAATACGGGGAGTAAAATCGAATGTTAACAAACATAGAAGTGGTTATATTGCTCCTTCGCGTAACATATTTGCGCATGTTATACTGAACGTATGTATTATTCTTCCATTGCTGTTTTTATATATGTTTTATTTTTAATGCAAATAAATAAAACTTTCGATGTAAATGGTGGTAAATTTACGGTTGTCAGCAATGACCAACCAGGTGTGTGGTCCTTCGACTTGAATCATTAAAAGCATCCTTTACAAGACTTAGAACTTGTCATATTAGGTTTTACAAAAAAAAATAATTTTGACAAAAGAAATACAATTAGAAAAATATCTAGCATAATAAAGGACAAATATGTTCCAAAGTTCAGACCGCAGGACTAAACCCATACGCGCGACGGAACCGCTAAGTACTTTTTTTATCACTGTAAATAATTACTATTATAATCTGTCTATGCTCAGCTTGCTTCTTCGGCAATTCGGAACACAGACCTATTGGGGCATAGACATAAACTTCTAGGCTGTGCTGTCGTAATAATAAATTTTATGTATCCATGAAGCCATTAAGTTAATGAACGTAAAACAATTTTTTATTCAATCACAAAATACAGTCGACCTAAAGCAAAAGGTGTGAATTATACAGACAAATTTAAATCAGTCGCATTATCTGATGGCTGAATATGAAAGGCGAATTGTTTAAAACAACCTAGTATTTTTGCTTTTCAAAGTTCCCCTGTGGAATATCTATTTTCAGCACTACACGAATATCTTAATAAAAAATACATGATAAACAGAATTCATAACGTTTTCACGTTATGAATTACGCTTAGATATTGAAATCAACGAGTTGATTACCAAACTTGAACGAATCGTATACATCGTTCATTTAACTAAACAAATGACCTGACTTCCCTTGGCTGTAGACGTAATTTCGAATGGGGTCTGCGAAGGAAGTTACGTCTACAAATTATTGACTTATTCTATACTGCAGACTGTAAATTATCATTATTCTCATACTTCCGTTACTCATCGAGGCTTTTAATCTATGACAGTTTAAGGTTGTATGTAACATTTCATGGATGTAAAATTTACGTCACACGCTCTTATTCTAGAGGCGGCAAGAAGAGACGCTCACGGATTCGCCCTGATGAAGACCTCCAACTCCTTCTTCCTCTCTCTCACCTTCGCGTAGAACGCCTTTCTCGTCTCGTCCTGCTCCTCGGCCAACTGACATATTTCAGAGTACTCCTTCGCGTTAAATCTGTACAAATCTGAAAAAGAAGTGTTGACTGTATTTTTTTTCCACTTCTCCCACAAGTGGTGTGAAAATATTGACAGGGTATGGAGCTATTTGTGCTTAAGAGATTTTATCATAAGGTTATTGAAAAAATAAAATGCTTAAAAAATCACATCCTTTATTCAAATAGAGATGTAGTTATATGTTATAATAAAATTTATAATCAGTATTGTCTATTAACTTTTTTTTGTCAAATGTACAAATATGTTTTGTAAATCCCTATTGAAGTTTGACGCCAAAATTTTGTAGTACTACATACGTGCATGGGGCGTGCTTTAACTTGTGTATCGTTGCGTATTAGTATTTTTTTTGGAGTTTACATCCTTAAAAATCGATTTTTGTACAAGTCGCCCGGTGTGGAAACTTTATAAATGAAATTAACAAGCATTAATTCAAAGCGTTATGGTCCCTTTATACATTTATATCTACTTCTTTAAACACTGCGTTCAGTGGTAGCGTAGTCGAGCGGCGTAGGCGCTGGTTTAAGGCAACAGTCCCTTTGGAGGCGTGAGTTCGAATCCCACCGCTGTCAGACTTTTTGTTAGGGTTCCGAGCCAAAATGGTAGAAATGGAACCCTTATATTTTCGACATGTCCTTTCGGTCCGTCTATCAGTCCGTCCGTGGGTCACAGGAATTTTATTCAAAAACTGCAAGACGTATATTGATTAAATTTGTAGTGTGGGTGTCTTGTATAAGGCGCTACTTACTTTGGCAATTAAATAACAAGATACATGCAACGATCTAAAAAAATTTTTTTTTGATTATGTGAGCAATTGCGGAAATAATCGCTCCGAAAGTTACAAAAATTGTGCCCTACTCATTTATTTTCTAAACCGCATATCCGAAAAATATGAAAAAAATAGCGAAATTAACACTTAATAAGTAATTTCAACAAAATTATTTTGAACATGATCGGGTATACCGTTTTTGAGTTACTATCAAAAAACTGCACTTCTCATCAAAAGGACGTAAGTGCTATGAACATACGCTCTTCAGCTGGTGTACCTTCATTTATACTAGTTTAATAGTAATAGTCGACATACCTACTTGCTTTTCTAGTTACAGGCGACTAAAATGCTTATAACTATTCTGTGCGGGAAACATGGAAAAAGTGAAACTACCTACTTTTTTCATCTGTAGTGTATTTATAATGGTTTCGGAACCCTATAATGAGCATGGTCCGACACGCTCTTGGCCGGTTTTTTTTTTTTAATTTTGTGCCTTCCTAAATGTATTAGCTAAAATTTAGACGTAGTAGTGGTTTACGTAGAAGGTCAATTTCTATTTCAATCCGTTGCAGCAATATGAAAGTCGGATTTCATACTAAGTACAATTTTCGTTGACATATTGTAATTTAAGTGTGTATTTGAAACAAATTAAACATGTTTACTATATTATTTCTACGGTAAACTAGGATTACGATGAAGTGTTAGTTATTGTGGCTTTTCGTGGTTTAGTGGTTTTTTTGACATAAATTAGTATTTATGTCAAAAAAGCCACACGTGTTTAACCATTGAGGTAATATGACATATTATCTCAATGTGTTTAACCTTTTTTTGGCTTCATTAATAGAGAATCATTTAACTACTGGTGGATTGGTATAACGGTGTCGTAAATTATGCACTGAAAATATAAATCTTCATTCACCCTCTGTTTGATTGGGCATAGGGTGGGGCAGCTTGTAGGTCCTGGAGTTCTCGCTCATCAAGTCTATGGTCGCTTTGGCTGCGCGCACGCATAGAGTTCTTCCGTCGATACTCTTCGGCAGTTTCACGGACACCTTCAACGATGGAAAGGACAACTCCACCGGTGACCTGAAACGCATTCACCAATCAGATTTGCTTGTTCTTTTTTTTTTAACAATAAGGGCTTTTATTCGTTGACCATTTTAAACTTGGCACTTGCTAGGTTGAACCGAATAGATTTCGTCAGTGTCGAGTTCCTGACCGACTGTTGAGGCTTAGCTTCTCAAACTTTATATGTATTTTATGCTGAAGCACTTAAATTTAAGCTTCTGAATCTAGACTTTCCATTTCAGCCGCAGATCAGGCTGAGTTCCTGGCTATTAAGAACCGGTGTTATCAATCCGATAACAATGGAACGTCAGTTTAGTGTGCTCTCCGAGGCACAGTGCGAATTTTTCGATAAGACTCGTGTTAAAAATTGGTTTCTCAATCAAAGAGTAATTTGATAGCTTTCGATTCGAAGGCATTGCTTGTTAGCAGCTTCCGACCTATACGGGGTCGGTATGGTTGAATTGAAAAGCAAGCTCTTCTAATTGAAATTAAAAAGGGATTACAGTGGGAATGTATGCTTCAGCGGTGGAACGGCTAAAAAAAACCGGCCAAGTGCGTATCGGGTCCCGGCAGTTTAGGGTCCGGTAGTTGTCCGTCACATAATACAGATTTAGAAGGAGGCTTCTTGTTTGTCACTATGAACCTCAGTGATTGAGTTCACGGCTTAAAGCTTGGTAAAAAGTGATGAACTGTGCATACATTGCTTTATTATGAGGTCTATGCTCAAAATATTTATTTTAATTAATTTATAAATAAATAAAAAACATTCCTACACATTTATATTTTTTCCAACTAATTGATAAGCATCTTATATTATTGCGTGCTCGTCTATGATGCCGGTCATATTTATGGCATATCTAATATTTATAGAATAGAAAAAAACTACAGACGGTCACTGGCGATAGCCGATGGACAGGCGATTATTTTATCGTTACAGCGCTGCGGCGAACCCCGCGCGAACATTAGCATGTCGGTGACACGAATTCAAAAGATTTTACCCATATCAAAGCGCCTAAAGTTAAAAATCATTCCGGTACAAAATCAGTTCATTCATTATGATCCTGTACGGATATTTTCACCATTTACAAAAAAATAACAGCTTCAAAGCAACCGCTTACCTTTCTTCTTCGATGGGCGGCGGTTTCCTGTCCGGCATTTTCACCGCCACCCAAATGTTCAGGCGCAGGCCGACGAAATGCTTCTCGAAAGTCGACAGCTTTATCGTCTCCATCTTCAGGTTGCTCTCGATGTCCCTCAGCAGCCAGTAGGAGGCGCACTGTATGGCCTCCGACAGCTGCCGCCTCACCGCCACACGGACCTGCGAGGAGACAGCGTGCGGTTCTGCTCAGACTGGGAGTTCCACTTCTTAAGTACACGTTCCGTACGACTTCGCTTCTTGTTAACATTCGACTTCTCACCCCATTTGATTTGCCCATCGCGGGCTATGTATGAAAACGGATAAGATTCAAAAACAGCTGAGTGTGAGTAATTATAAGGGGTATTTGTATTGGAAGTGTATGTTTCTTGTTAAAGATAAAGTATATAAAGTTTAATAAGTGATTTGACAACTTGGCATCGAGCGTAATAGCGGCCCCGTAAGTTGACGTTTAATTTCTTGAAAACTTTTCATATTGCTATGAAGATGAATGCGCACTTGTATAGTTACAAACTAGCTTACGCCCGCAGTTCCACCCGCGCAGACGTAATTATTCCCTCATACAATATATCGATCGATAGCGATAATTGGATTGGATGAGCTATCCTTACCGCTATCCTATCTGTGTATATTACAGTTGTTATCGAAAACAGGATCTGGAACGCAATAGGGAACGGTCTCGATATCGATATAGATTCTGTCTTCGATAACAACCGTCGTTCGCTTCACCCGTCCGTCTGAGCATATTGTCACCGCGCCGGACACGTAGCTTTACATTAGAGTCACCCCAAGGGAATATTTTTAGTGGGTAAAAATCCCACACAACCCCGGTCACTAGGACGCGTGGCCGGGTATATTTCGTTCATGAAGATTTCCACTTCCTGTGCAAACCAAAAAGAAAATGTCCTCGCTTACGGTCTAGATCTCGCTCTCATTTTTATTCCGTTCTTTTTCCATTTCCGTTCACGATCTCGATTTTAATTTCGATCCCACGGTCGATTACGATCTTGGTCCCCTTATTGTGTTCGAACTCTCCCGGTCTCGGCTTTCAATTCTGCTCTGTTTGTGATTGCGATTCCATTACCGGTCATAGTTCTAATTCGGACGAAGCCGAAGCAAATTATAGTATCAAAATAAAAAAATATGCTATAATTCTTGGGGATAGTGTTGCTTTCTATGAGTGATAGAATTTTTAGAATCTGCAGATGAAGCCAAAGCGAATTGTTAATAGTTTATTCCATTCAAGGAGTTTCTTATTAATGAAGTAATTCTTAGCATCGGCTTAGTAGTTCATTTCAATATTAAAAATACGCAGACAACGTCAGTTATGAATGCTAGTTTTCTTTTTCAGAAATCTTACCGTTCGCGAGAAAAACATATCACCAGTTTCATAGTAATTATATGAATATATTTAATTACGCAAAGAAACCAACAAAATATATACTCTATTATATACATTACAGAACTCCGTTTTCTTAACCTAATTGTGAAAGACCCATCTCACCACATTTAAAAGTCTTACCTCGCTTCATAAAAAAGTTTCATTACAAAATTCAACCTACCTTAACTGCGATAAAAATCAAACTACGCACGCATACACACACAGACACGACTACATAAAAACAAATAAATGTCGTTACTAAAGAAATAATAATTGATTTTTTTGTGGTTATCGTACGGTGTATGGTAATAAAAGCGCTTATCAATTTTGAAATCACAACTTATTTTCATCAAGATCGATCAAACCGTTCTTGCGTTGTACAATAATATACAGACGGACAGATAGCAAGCCCATCATTTGTTCTTATTTGTATATCAATTTTCACCACAATCGATTAAACCGTTCTTAAGTTATAAAGGAATATACGAACAGTCAGACCGAAAGCAGCCTATAATTTGCGCATACACATGTTTTATTCTACACTAGTTTTCATCAAGTTTGGTTATGCCGTTCTTAAATTATAACATAAAGTATATACAGACTGTCAGAAAGAGACACAGTAACTTATCATTTACGCCATCGTATGTTGTAACTGTAAATCAATTTTCATTAAGATCAGTCAGATTTGTTTTTAAGTTATAAAAGAACATATATACAGACAAAAAGACAAGCAGTATCCTGTCATTTGAACAATAATATTCTTCGACTGTACACCGATTGTTATCAAGATTAGTCAAACCTATCTTAAATTATAAAAAAAAACATACAGACTGATAAATAGATAGACAGAGAGTAGCCTATCAATTGCGCAATGACATGTTCTTACTGTATACCAATTTTCATTACGATCAATCGAACCGTTCTTGAGTTATTAAAGGATCTCATAGACAGACAGACAGACGTTAATTAAAAAAATGCTAGAATTGGGTTCAGTTGATTGAAATTGAGGTCAGTCATAAATTAAAATATTTAACACAAAATTAAAAAAAAAATGAATGTACAGACAGACGCTGCAATATAATGTTATAGACATTGCTCTAATGTTCTTCTAATTGACGAACTTGGCGATTATGTAGGCAAATAAAGTTTTTAGCAAGAAAAATTCGCAATTTGACTCCTGACATATATATAAAAAAAG